TATGCAACCTCATCCTGCCGGTAAGGATGTGCCTTGGTAGCCGATGTTCTGGAATCCAAATTGAATGACAAACAAGTGTGCTGTCGTCAGCAAAGCAATATATTGGATTCTTGGTTTTTCCAATAAGTTTGTTGATATACAATAAAAAGAGAGTTGGAGACAATATGGATCCCTGGTGAACACCAGCGTTGATGGTGAAAGTATTCAAGAGCTATCCATCGATGGCCACTTGCAGGGAACGTGAGAGGGATGTACAAGCTAGTTGAACATTTTTTTACAAAGTAATCCAGAATGTTATCGAAATCACTTCCTTTATCATCATCTAAAGAAGTGATCTTGCTCAGAACTAGTTGCTCATCGATGTAAAATTTATTTATCAGTATATTGTTTGAATTCGGCATCAACTTAGTTGGTATCTCTTTATAAGGCTAATAAACGCTATGAAAATACTTTGCGAACATATTGCAAATGTCGTCGCCTGTTGAGATTTTACAAACTAATCCGGAATGTTATCGAAACCACTCTCTTTATTATCATCTGAAGAAGTGATCTTGCTCAGAACTAGTTCCTGTACCAGGAAGTAGGAGTTAGGAGCGAATAGCCAAACTTTTCTCACATCTACTTGTATATCATTTTCTACTTTTTTAATATGTATTTCATAATCGAGTTTTGTTATTTGTTCGGTTAGACTGTTACTGGAGTTTCTTCCCAACACCAAATCGCTATTTTAACACCTCGACACGTGTTTCAATCCTCAAGTGATCGTCTTCAAGGGGAAGATCACTACGACATCTCAAAAACGTAAAATCATTATAACAAGTCAAGTCCTCAAAAAGTTTCAATTTTTTGTGAGCTATGGTTTTTTGTTTTATGCAATGTATTTTGGGTGTGGTGAAGTACAAGGGACATCTTTCATTNAGAATCGTCCAACTATTGACATTCCACATCTGAATCGAAGGTACCATGATGATGATAATGCCATAGCTTCAATTCGTGCCAATCCTCAAATTAGCAGGGAATAAATCAAAAGATGTCACATTCATCAAGAAATTTAACCTTTCAAACCAAAATTTCAGATACTGGTCTACTGAAAATTCCCACTGGGTTATAAACTGTAAGGACCAATTCTTTCAAAAATTTAATCATTGAAAATCTGCCCCTCAATGTACGACAAGAGATGTACTTTCAGCTAGACGAAGCTTCCATTCATAATTCTTGGATAGTTCGAGGGTGGTTAAACGAACATTTTCAATTACGTTTGATATGTAGAAATAGCCTAATGAACAATGACCTCCTTGCTCTTCTGATGTAACTGCAATAGAGAACTTCTGGAGAACTGTCAAAGATAGGATTTACGAGTCTAGGACACCAAATCAACATGAACTTTGTGCGGGAGAATACGGCAAGCCAGTCGTGAAATAAGTATTCCAGAACTTAGGAGAGTGGCCAATAATAATAGAAAAAGAATTAAAAAATGTATCAGAATCGGAAGCAGGCCATTGAAAGAGACAATATTTGGAATTGATGATGACGATGATGATGACTGCAGGACTGGTCACTAGTCACACACGAATAATATTTCAGCAAGGTACAAGAATATCTTGGAGAAATAACATCTTGTTTTGATAATTTGTTAGACAAGAGCATAAACTATCTGAAAAAGCCCTGTTCCAAGAATTCAGGAATTCCAACCGATCACCTGATACGACCTCTAAAGCGTTCGAGTGCGTCTCTCATGACATATTATTTGAGAAACTATATTATCATGGCATCAGAGGTGTATCTCTATCCTTCATTAAATCATATTTGTCGAATAGATACCAAGCAGTCAGTATCAAAAATTGCATTTCGAATTTTGAACTTGTTGGACATGGTGTTCCCCAAAGATTAGTATTGGAACCACTTCTGTTCATAATTTACGTGAACGACATCAGTAACTTCCACCACATATATTCACTCTGACAAAAATGCGATTGAACTATCTGGAATATCAAATGAAATCGATAAGAAGGCAGAAAATTGGTTCGTGACAAATCCACTCAAACTGAATACAGATAAAACGTAACAGTTACAGTTTTCAGCAAGCTCTGCCGATTAATCAAGTGCAGACAACGTTGAATTACGTGGGTTAATTTTCGATAGTACTCTCACTTGGACCTGTCATATCAATCAATTGAGCAAAAAACTATCTAGAACACTTTTTTTAATGCGTCAGTTGAAAAATATAACTGGTTTCTTGAAAAACATCAACCGACCAACTATCGTTCATTTCTATTTCGACTTCTAAACCCGGCTCTGGATTTGAATTAAGCTCATTCGCAATGAAGCGATATTAGTGCCTGCTCTGAATCACATCCAAGTCAAGTCACATCTCAAATTTTCTTTTGTTGGCGGATTCATTATTCTTTCGTTTTTTCACGGACGAAGTAAAAGATGAAAGAAAAATGACAAGAAAATGAATGAAATGCGTCACATATTTATAACTGAAGGAATAACAGAAGTGAAACTACGTGGGTTTTCTTCTCAGCGGCATACTAATATGTATTAAATTAAACCAGGGGTGGCTGGACAACTAATCTCCGTTCTGACTTCAACAATAATTGGTTTATCAAGTTTCTCTATTTTATGAGGTTCATTATTGCACCATTTTCCAATTTATTGCTTCTTAATTGATGGTGTTGGAAAACCAATAAACATGGCAACATTCGCTTTCAAAACCTCTACCTCGATCTGTTGTGAATTCCATATCGCTCGATGTTTAATGCGAATGTGGTCATTTTCTAAGAGATTGGAAATTGATTGTATCTCGGCGTGGTACTCGTGGCAGTAGTAACAGTCTGGACTGTAGTAACAGTCTTTGACGAATAAACAGTTTGTCAATTTAATTAATTAAGAAAAAAATATAAAATTATCCAAAGCGGATTATCGAAAGTTAAGCGAAAGAAGGAGAAACAAAATTGAATTTTTGTGAAAATATCAATTCGTAAGCTCTTAATTTTCAGTTGAAAATCTGAAATCGTTTTCATCATGGAAACTTATAAATTCACAGAGAAACAAAAGAACAATTAATTCAAATTCAAAGTTGTGTAGAGGAATCGGTGCCAAATAAACCTGACACTACCTACGGAGAGTACGGTCAATACGGAGTCAACATTTTTTGATGTTCCATCTACATCAACCGATATAAACAAAATCCGATTTTTCATTAGATTCTGCTGATTTGGCATTTACGGAATTGGATTATAATTCGCATTTGGATAGTGATAGTACTCAAGACAAGACCCTGAAATAGTGTGTCAACTGATTCAAAAAGGACCTTGCCAACCTGGGTTATTAGATGACTTTCAAGACTTTCCAGTTCTCAATTACAAAAAATTCAACGTTTTCTGATACAAACTTAAAAAAACGACTTTTGGATAGCGCAGCGTACGAGAATGATTAGGTTGTTTTGTTTTGTATGCTGGCTTTTTGAGAGTGCGCATTGCTTATTATTGAAATATTTCTTATATATAGTCTTGTCTTATATATATAGTCTTGTGATATCATTTCTTTTTTGATGGGAAATGCAGTATTACTTTAAATACCTATGCCTTTTTACAGAATCTTAGCGCCTAGTAATGGTGTACCCCTCCCCTCCGCCCTTAATTTATGGAGTCGCCAGTGACAACTGATACTAATTTATATTTTCACTTCAAAAATACAGTAACGAAATATGTATACCAACTGCACTAACTATGTTACCTACACAGTGCTTTTCTTTAATATCCCCCCTTTTATTTTTTGAACGGATCAACTCGAAAAATTGAAATTTGGGATAATGAAATTAGTGCATGAATACTTTACTTTGAAACTTTCAAGATGGCAACTGGGCGCCATCTGGGAAAAAAATTAAATAGAATGGGGGGTCCTGTGATACATCTTTTTGAAGCTCCTGACAAATGCTTCACAACCCTAGAATATAATGTCAATATCTTCAACTACTACAAAATGGCGGATTTTACATACTACCAAATTTAATTGACT